CAGAGATCGAACACATATCCCCTGCATTGGTAGGTGGATTCTTAACCACTGCGCCAAAGTCCCTAACTATGCCTTATTAATGCTTAAAATAACACACTTGTGTTTTAGTCTAAGCCTTTGTTGGGTTTAATTACAAAATTTCTCTTTATGTAACCAACATGTAGAAAATGATATAATGTAGCATAAAAAAATCATTTATTCTTGAAGCAGAATGTGGTTTGACACCATTTTGTATAGCAGATCTCTAGGCTTTATTCAGCTAGAATAACTGAAACTTTGTACCCTTGGTTAGTAATACCTCCCCATTCTCTTCTCTCCCAGCCTCTGGCAATCACTATTCTGTGCCACTCTGTGCTTCTGTAAGTTTGACTGTTTTAAATTCCTCATATAAGTGATGTCATGTAGTATTTGTCCTTCTGTATCTGGCTTATTTCACTTAGCATAATGTCCTCCAAATTCAGCCATGTTGTCAGAAATGGCAGGATTTCCTTCTTTTTAAGCTTGAATAATATTTCATTGTATGTACATATACCACATTTGCTTTATCCACACATCGGTCAGTAGACAGATTGCTTCCATGTCTTGGCTATTGTGAATAAAGCTGCAATGAACCTGGGAGTGCAGGTATCTTTTCAAGATTCTGATTTCAATTCCTTTGGATAAACACCCAAAAGCGGGGTGGCTGGATCATAAGGAAGTTCTATTTTTAATTTTTTGAGGAACCTCCATACTGGCTGCACCAATTTCCATTCCTATCAACAGTGCATGAGGTTTCCCTTTTCTCTACATCCTCACAACACTTATCTCTCCCTTCCTCCCTCCCTCCCTCCCTCCCTTTCTTTCTTTCTTTCTTCCTTCCTTTCTTTCCTTCCCCCCTTTCTCCCTTCCTTCCTTCTTTCTCTTTCTTTCTTTCTTTCCTTCCTTCCTTTTCTTTTTTTTTTTAATAATAGCCATCCTAACTGGTATGAACTGACTTCTCATTGTGATTTCAGTTTTCATTTCCCTGATGTTAGTGATGTTGAGCATCTTTTCATGTATTGTTGGCCATTTGTAGATTTCATGTTGTATTCTTATTAATAATCATAAAGAGGGCAGGAGGAAACTTTTGGAGGTGATGGGTATGTTTATGGCACAAGTTGTGATGATGGTTTCATGGGTATATGCTTATCTCCAAACCCATCAGTTCATACACATTAAATATGCACAGGCTCCTGTTTGTCAATCATATCTCAGGAAAGTGCTTTTTTAAAAAGTCTGTGGTTTGCCAAATTTTCAATTGACAGAAAGATTTTTTTAAAAAGGAATTAGACTAATAAATCCTTCTTCAATATCTCTTCCTCATTTCCCATGCCCATTTGGGGGAGTCAAAGACTGTGTTATGAGGACCACAGGCACACCAAAAGGTGTACTTTATACTAAGTGTGAACAACTATGTCAGCAGCAGAATCAGCAATAAATGTTTTACTATTCGTAAGGCTATGCAAACATCTACCATGCAGCTCAGCCTTCCTCAAAAAGGAACTTGATCCCGAAAGGAAACATACAATAAGAATCATTAAAAGAAAGGCAGTGTAAATAGATCTTAATGAAAAAATGTCTTGGGCATTTCAAGTTCTACTTTAGTTTTGTAGAGAAAACTACAAAAATAAACCACTCTGAAATAAAATTGACTTTCAGAGCTATAATTAAAATTATGAAAAATTCCAAGGATTAGAGACTACATTTTTGGATACCAAAAATCTTCTTTGAATAGTGATTCACAAGCACATGGAATCATGCTTTGAAAATAGAAAGCAAAAGTGCCTGTTTCCACGGGTTTAAACATTAGCCATTACTCAGTATTCGTAAGACCAGTAATTATTATCAGAATACAAAGCACTTGCTGATGAGAAGCATTTGCAATTTAAATGGAAATTACAACTTTTCACTTGCAAATTTTTATAAACCATCTGTAAATATATTTGCTGAAAAACACATCACAGTGATGAGTTTTGTTTGTTGTTGTTATTAAAAAATTTATACTTAACTGGTTTTTGTGATGATTCTGCAGTATAGTAAAAATTACCTAAAACATTACACAATTCAAAATGAAAGGAAGAGATGAAGAAAACACTTTGCTTCAGGGATGGCTTATGTAAAAGAAAATTAATAAGAGGGAAAGTAGACAGAAGCAGTAATAATTTTTAAAAATATATTTGACGATTGATCTTATTTTAATACTATAAACTAACCCTTTGGCCTTCTAGGAAAGAAAAATCCAGATTTCTTGAGGCATGTTTGTTACAGAATGACGGCAAATAGTTTTCTTTTGAAATTAAGAGGTCACGTTGAAGACAGAAACAAAGTTAGGAATCAAAGCCTTCTGGTATTTATTAGTCCTATTAATTAAAAATCAAAGCATTCTACTTATATTGGAAGAATTAACATTGTTAAAATGGCTATACTACCCAAAGCAAACTACAGATTTAATGTAAGCCCTATCAAATTACCCAGGACGTTCAAAGAACTGGAACAAATAATCGAAAAATTTATATGGAGCCATAAAACACCCAGAATTGCCAAAGCAAGCCTGAGGAAAAAGAACAAAGCAGGGGCATAACCCTCCCAGATTTCAGACAATACTACAAAGCTACGGATATCAAAACGTTATGGTATTGGCACAAAAACAAACATATGGATCAATGGAATAGAGAGCCCAGAAATAAACCCACACACCTACAGTCAATCTTCAACAAAGTGGGCAAGAATATACAATGGAGAAAAGACAATCTCTTCAGCAAATGGTGTTGGGAAAGTTGCACAGCTGCAGGTAAATCAATGAAGTGAGAACACACCCTCACACCAGGCACAAAAATAAATTCAAAATGGCTTAAAGACTTAAATATAAGACAAGAAACCATAAAATTCCTAGTACAGAACATAGGCAAAATATTCTCTGACATTTATTGTAGCAATGTTTTCTTAGGTCAGTTTCCCAAGGCAATAGATATAAATACAAAATAAACAAATGGGACCTAATCAAACCTTACAAGCTTTTGCACAGCAAAGGAAACCATAAACAAAATGAAAAGACAACCTACAGACTGGAAGGAAATATTTGCAAACAATGCAACCGACAAGGGCTTAACTTCCAAAATATACAAACAGTTCATGCAGCTCAGTATCAAAAAAACCACAAACAACCCAATCAAAAAATGGGCAGAGGATTTGAATAGACACTTCTCCAAAGAAGACACACAGATGGCCAAAAAGCACATAAAAAGATGCTCAACATTGCTAATTATTAGAGAAACACAAATCAAAACTACAATGAGGTTCCACCTCCTCGTAGCCAGTCAGGATGGCCATCATTTAAAAATCTACAAATAATAAATGCTGGAGAGGGTTGGAGAAAAGGGAGCCGTCCTGCACTGTTGGTGGGAGTGTACATTGGTGCAGGGAACACCATGGAGAACAGTACGGAGGGTCCTTAGAAAACTAAAAATAGAACTACCATATCACCCAGCAATCCCACTCCTGGGCATATATCCAGAGCAAACTCTAATTCGAAAAGATGCGTGCACCTCAATGTTCACTGCAGCACTATTTACGATAGCCAAGACATGGAAGCAACCTAAATATCCATTGACAGATGAGTGGATAAAGAAGATGTGGTGTACACACACACACAAACACACACTGGAGTATTACTCAGCCATGAAAAAGAATTAAATAATGCCATTTGCAGCAACGTGGCTGGACCTAGAGATTATCATAGTAAGTGAAGTATGTCAGACAGAGAAAGAAAAATATCACATATCACATATATGGAATCTAAAATATGGTACAAATGAACTCATTTACAAAACAGAAACAGACTCACAGACATAGAAAACAAACTTATGGTTACCAAAGGGAAAAAGGGATGGGAGAGGCATAGATTAGGAGTTTGGGATTAGCAGATACAAACTAGTATACATAAAATAGATAAACAAGGTTCTACTGTATAGCACAGGGAACTATTTTAATATGCTGTAATAAACCATGATGGAAAAGAATATATATATATATATATATATATACACACACCCATATATATATATATATATATATATATCACTTTGATGTACACCAGAAACTAACACATTATAAATCAACTATATTTCAATTAAAAAAAAATCAAATCAAATCAAAGAGCATTTTACATATCTGAGCTTAAAATCCCATAGCTTCTGATCAATGGGGAAAAGTAATTTAAATTACTTTTAGTAATTTAAGTTAGTATTTGTGTCACAGACACTAACAAATGAGAAAATTCTCAGAATAAAATATCAAACTGTAGTTCAGTAGCAATGGAACTACGTAACACAACTTTTTTATACTGGGGAATTCATATTTCACACAGAAATTCTGACAGGTGAATGTACGGTTTTAGGGATTTCAAATGTATTTTTGAAACCAGCTGTAAGGTGGCAAATGCTAAACAGAGCACTGAGGTAGCAGTAGGGAGGCCTGGGTTGTAGTAGTAACACCACAAACTTTTACTCCTGGGCAAGTAATTTAAATTCACATTGGTTTGGCTTTTTCAACATCGGTAAAATGAGAGCTCAGATTAGATGTTCTGGGGATTCTTGTATCAGCTAAATGTCTATGAGCTTGTTTCATAAATTAATAATAATCACAACTACCAGTATCAGTAAAATGCCAATTCTGTGTCAAGCGATAAACTATTCTTTGCATGCAATACCTCCGTCCTCAGAGCAGAAATGTCTTCATTTCAGAGATCTGTGATTCATGCACAACTGATCAACATAGAGCTGGGATTCCAGCTGAGCTGTCTGTCTTCCCGCCCTCATGCCAACTCAACCACACACTCTGGTCTTTATCCAACTGCTGACAGAATATTCAATCATTCAAGCTGCATAACAAAGCTTAAAATAATGGTTCAACTATTGCAAAATGACATTTTAAAAGCTTCTATTTGAACCATAATGTCAGATAAGGAAGTTTTTATTACTTACAGCTGTTCCAAGGATGAGTCCTTTAAATGTCTGCTTATCTCGTATACGAATTCCATCCTTGTAGAGGTACCTGGAAAACATACAAGATCTTATTAAATTATAAATTAGCACAGATACCACATATCTTAGATCAGGATTTTTTAAACTGTAGTATGGACCCAAGAAGCTTTGGGGTGTTAATACATTCCCTAAAAATATAGGGAAACTTTGATTTCATATCAATATGTTCAACTGTCTGGGCAGGAGAGCTCCAAGGCTCTCATCAGAGCCTCAGAGTGATCCTGCACCAAAATACTGAGCGCCACTGCCTTAGCCTCTAAAACTTGGAATGGTTGTGGGGAACTTCTGGCTGATGACGTCACATCTACCGGTGGCAACTACTGTAAGAAAAAGAGAAGTTTGACAGTAACAATTTTTTAAAATCCGGTCCATCTACTGAATATACTGAACCGGGAGCTACATTTGCAAAGCTGGCAAATGTCACCGTTAGGACTCATGTGCGGGGGGTGAAAACATTCACAGTCGGCTCTCCCACGGTTGCTGCCAAAAATCTACAGGGAAGGACCCTACCATGGATTTACAGACACCGTGCAACTCATCGGACCCCAAAAGTGACTGGAAACAAACTATATAACCTACTAGCACCTTCTTTGCCTTTTTCCTTCAACTAGAGGATGGCAACATTATTTCCTCTCTAAATCTACCAAAGTTTGTTGTTATTGTTTTTTTTGGGTTTTTTGTTTCTTTTGCGGTACGCGGGCGTCTCACCGCCGCGGCCTCTCCCGTCGCGGAGCACAGGCTCCGGACGGGCAGGCTCAGCGGCCACGGCTCACGGGCCCAGCCGCTCCGCGGCATGTGGGATCTTCCCGGACCGGGGCAGGAACCCGTGTCCCCTGCATCGGCAGGCAGACTCTCAACCACTGCGCCACCAGGGAAGCCCTGGGTTTTCTTTTCTTAACAAACAGTGAATTGATTTAAACTGGAAACAATGTTGTATATTTTCTGAAGTGATTGAACCCAAACTAACATCGAACTGCTTTTTTTTTCTTAACAAACAGTGAATTGATTTAAACTGGAAACAATGTTGTATATTTTCTGAAGTGATTGAACCCAAACTAACATCGAACTGCAAAATACAGAGTCTTAATATTAAACCCGAATTTAATTGAAAAAAAAATCTCTATGTTTCTGTGAATGCCGTGGAAGTGAATATCTTTTTACCTAGAGGTTGCAAAAGGAATGGGGCCGACTCCAAGGAATTTTAGAGACTGGGAGAGATGGCAAAGGCCAGTCAATGCTCAGTTAACAACTGCAAAGGACACACTCAGCCAATGACCCAAGAAGGCGAATTTGCAGAGGGAGCAGTGCTCGGTAGCAGGAGCTCGTGAGACAACGATGCAAGAGCTGGGCCAGAAGAGGAAGAAGTTGTAATTCAGAGAGGAAGCGAAACCTAGGAAATGGGAACCACACCAGAAACAGATTCATGGATTTGAGTGTGGAAGAAATTTCCTCTTTAAATACTGCCAGAGATGCTCAGTGTATCTTCAACCTGCGCACGTATGCAGCAGTTTCTGCCCAGCGGATTTTTTTTTTTAATTGTTCAGTGCTCGTAAGTGATGCGATCATTACCACTTTGTAGATGCCAAGATGTTTCTGAACAAATAAATGTTACTTGGGAGTTTATCATTAGACTAATTCTAACTTGGTTAACAGTTTATATACAGGGATGCTGTCCTTAGTTGCTGGTTCACCAAACCAAAGAAAAGGAATGTTTTTCTTTTTTAATTAATTAATTTATTTTTGGCTACGTTGGGTCTTCGTTGCTGCACGCAGGCGTTCTCTAGTTGCGGTGAGCAGTGGCTACTCTTTGTTGCGGTGCGCGGGCTTCTCATTGCGGTGGCTTCTCTTGTTGCGGAGCACGGGCTCTAGGCGCACGGGCTTCAGTAGTTGTGGCATGCGGGCTCAGTTTGTGGCTCACGGGCTCTAGAGTGCAGGCTCAGTAGTTGTGGCGCACGGGCTTAGTTGCTTCGTAGCATGTGGGATCTTCCCGGACCAGGGCTCGAACCCATGTCCCCTGCATTGGCAGGAGGATTCTCAACCACTGCGCCACCAGGGAAGTCCTGAAAAGGAATGTTTTGCTCTCAGTTTTTCAGTGGCGCTCAGGTCTCAAATTCAGCTAAACTTAAATGAACCACGGTTCCCAAAGAGATCCTCAAACAATTGCACTTTTTCTTATGAATCTGGAAGCAAACTTCTCCTAAGACATTTCAGTCTGTTTTGCCCAAGGGAATCAATGATACATTTTGGACCAAAACATGTTAGAATTTCAGAAGAGTTCAGAAAGGCTTTTGTTTCAGAGAAAAATCTGTGCTCTCCTTTGTGTTTGGCAGGGCACAACTGCAGTCCGGTGGTGTGTTTTGTCTAAAGAAAATCAGCCTCCTGGACATGCACGCACTATAGCTACTTTATGTAAACACCCAAAATGCTTGGGAAAGGCCACCGCAAAAATCACTGATGGACACACGTTACTGAAAAAGCTGAGGCATTTACTGGTCTTACCCTCCCTCTCAATGAATAATGAACTCAACATAAAGACTGTTAATCAATCACATGTTGAGCATTTACTGAGCACCTTATGCTCTCTTCTTTATTCCCCAAATATTTCATGAGTCGTTGCCACGTTCGCAATGCTGGGTTATGTGGTGAATTAGAGGAGACGGCCCCTCGCCTTCACAGGATCCAGTGGGAAAATCAGAAAACAAATAAGTAAAAACATATGAGAGAAAAACATTAGCTTCTGTGGTGTAATAAATGAACAGACACCATGAGAGAGAAAAACAGAGAGGAAGCTTCCTAGAGGAGTTGACATTAAAGGTGGGACGAGACAGAGGAAAATGCCACCAGGGAAAGACCCACCAGCCTCACGTGCAGAGGCCCGCAGGGGTGCAGAGTGAGAACTTCCTGTGCGTGGAGAGATTAAAGAACAATGCATCCAGCATAAAAAGCAAAGGAAAGAAGACCTAAGATGAATTTACATGCGTATGAGGATCAGAAGCCACACTGGGACTCACAGACCTAAAGAGGGGGTCTGACTTATTAAAATGAAACGTGAAACAGGAAAGTAGTGATTCCTTGAACTAGGGTAGGTGCAGGGGACACGGGGGAAGGGAACACATCAGAAATGTTCTTGGGGGCGGAGTGAACGGGGTGTGCCGGAGAAGCCGAGCAGGCGGCTCACAGAGCAGCGGTGCTGGTTCGCTGAGAGGGTGTGAGACACACAGGAGTGCAGCAGGATGGGTGAGGCTGGGAGAGAGAGAAGCGAGTCCTGCACTTCATGTGCGCTGCACGGAAATACAAGCAGGACCCCGATTCTCAAGCATGCAGCTGTGCACACACACACACACACACACACACACACACACACACAGCCTCACTGCTGGGAATGCTCTTTGCAGGTTATCATCCCCACCCTTTGTGACCACTTGTTTTTCTGGTCATAAGGGGACAAGACGACACATCTCAGCGTGTGTTAGAGCTGAGGTCGCCACAGAGGTGGTGCCCATGTTAGAAGGTGATTCTTGGCTTTAGTCAATGCTGCGGTAATTCACAAGCACCCCCTTATCTGAAGCCTTGCTCGCCCATCGCACGGGGAGGCGGAGCCATCCTCCCCCAGCGGGCCACCACCACGTCCGTGTGTGTTTAGATTCCAGAGCCCACCCAACTGTCCTCTAAGTGTGGGTTCATCCCCCAAACAAGCAAGATCTAAGCCTGAAGCCTGTCTCTGCATCTCCACACACCAGCTCCCACCCCACTGCCTGTCTCAGCACCTTCACAGACCTCCAGATCAACGAGCACCCCGGATCGCAGGGTCTCTGTGAATCCCACCCAGAAGGAGCTCACGTGTGCTCCGGGCGTTTCCGGGACTGGCTCACACGAGGCTTGTAACCACGCGTGTAGCAGAGTCTACCTTCCTCAACTGCCGTCGACCCTGACATTTCCTTCCAAACCTCAAATTCCACCTTCTTCTAACCTGGACAGGGGGTGTCGGAACGGAATAGGTCTCCCAGCCCACAAACTCCTTTTTTATAAGAACACCTCTGTTTTGAGAGGCTATCCTTACTCGGTAATGTTACCGAAAACAGGGAAAGATTGGCTTCAGTGGCCACACGAATGCGTTCACCACCTACTGTGTCATGAAACGTTGTCCTTCCCTTTCCCTGAGTCACACAACCTACAGAACCCCAGAGATACGGTTAGAAGAGCGTTGACTCGAAGTGTCGTGAAGTGCTTTCCTTGTTCTCACCCAGAGCGTGTAAAGCACTTGAGCGTGTAACTGATCCCGCCACGGCAATGCTGACCATTCATCTTATCCAAAATTAGCCTCTTGCTAATAATTCATTGTACTAGGTTTCTTCATTGAGTATCACACTAGCAATAAGATCTCTTCCAAACCATCTTTACAAGTTGTAAAGTTTTCTGTCTTGTGCTGTCTATCAATTTGTTTCCTTTACTGTAGGGGAGATACTCCTTACATGCAATGAGTAAAGGACCCCAGACCCCCAGGACTGGGAAGAAACACAGCGGGGGAGCAGACCACTCACAGCACCAGCCTAGAAGCCCAAAGAATCCTTAGCAATGTTTAACACATGGAAATCAAGAAGGCCATGTGCCTGCTGGGCATGCGATTGGTCGTGAACAGTTAGGAGAGCTAATATTATAGAATGGACTGATTCTAAACAGGAACCAAGGCTTTAGGACTGAGGGATGAAAAGAGCTGTAGGAGGTCTTGTGTCATAGGCTGGGTGTCTCAGTTGAACACAGCAGGCTGCAAGGCTCTCGAGCTGGGGTGTGATGTGAATTCTAGTGGCTCAGGAAGATGTTATGATCATTGCATAATTGGGAGAGAAAGTGTCAGGACAGCATCTCCTCTTTACAAGAATAATTTCAGCTTTTTCCCCAGAGTCCTTAATGAATCCACAAATGGAAATATTTCTATAAAAATGTTAATTATCTCCTTAATGTTTTTTTAAAAAGAAAGTTGCAGCACTCACTCCTTAATTAAACAAATGT